TTATTTTATTTTCTTTATGTAACTGCCAAGCTGGCCGCCCACTTAAGGGTATACTTGTCATCATCAATTTTTTAGAGATTAATAAAATAGGGTTAGAGGAGAAGGGTGATTGATTCGACTTCTTCTTCTCTTACCTCTTCTCTTTGCCATCTTCCTCTCTTATATAGTTATTCAGATCTGTTCTATTATGCTAATCACTAAGTTTAATCTTGATATTAGAGGACGGATTTACATCTCGGATGCCTGGCATTCTGTATATATTCTTCTACCTAATTTATTAAGTTATCACAATTAACAATAAAATTGATAAATAATAGAGGGGCTCTACTCCTTATTCTTTTCAATTTTTGTTAATCTCTCTTAATATTTTTTTTTGTTAGCTACTAATTTTTTGAAATGCACTTTCTTTACTAAGTCCATATTATGTTTTAGTGTTGTGTTTGGAATATCAAAATTTATCGAATTAAAATGCTATTGGTATGAAGAGAAAATACAAGTATTTTTTTTCAATTTATTTGCATGTTGATTGGTATGTAAATTAGGGAACCAACCTAGAATTTTGTATTTCTTTGTAAAATTATACCACTTCTGTGATTAGGTGATCCACTGTCATCTAATGCCTTGACAATATGCATTATAATTCTAATTCTTAACCACATATTCTTTGGCTCTGCATTAGTTGGAGCAGTTTTTCCCTTTTTGTGATATTCAGACTTTTGTGTACATAATTAGTTATGCACTTTATGAAGTCATAACTTTTTTTTTAATGCATTTTGTTTCCTACCAGGAAGATAATGACAATTGTGTTAGTGGATTGAAGCAGAAGTTGTATAAGCATTGGTTGAATGTTTATAAAATGTCCGGAGGCATTAATTTCAATTCATCCAAGCAAAAACTATTCTTCTCAATTTGTAAGTTGGTTAAATTCATTTTACACAAGAGTGACATCATATATGGCATTTTCCCTAGTATTCTTTATAAAGTAGTACTCTGGTAGTTTATTGGTTTGTGGCCTTTTATGATATCTTATTTGGTGATGATAACTACCATTGTATTATTTCTCAGTATTTGTCTATGGAACTGGTAGAAGAAAGATTTAAATACCGTTTGCTAGTGTTAGTGGTATTGGAGATTGTTAGAGTTGGAAGTACAAGGGCATTTTAGTCATTTATCATTTAATTAAAGGTGAGTTGTCTATTTTATCTATGTTTAAGTTGTGTGTCCCATACTTGATGAGGGACAGAGTTGTGTTTTGCATTCTAATGCACAGACTATAAATAAAAGGCGGGTCAGCTAAGAGTTGGTGACTTTTTCTCTCTGGATGAACCCTTTGCTTTTCTCCTCTATTCTTTCTCTTCTTCTTCTTGTCTTTTTCTTTCTTACTTCAGGCCTAGGACTGAACTAGTGTTAATCGAACCATTAACAAAGATAATGGTATTCTGTATTGGACCAAGGAGACAGTCGGGGAGAGTTCTTGAAAGATGTGAAGAAGTTTCAGAGACTTATAGGGAGACTCTTGTATTGTCTATGACCAGGCCTGATATTGCTTATGTAGTGGGTTTCCTTAGTTAGTTCATGCACAATCCTAGGGCAACTCACTTTGAAGCTGCAAAGAGGATCCTTAGATACCTCAAGAAGTTTCCTAGAGCTGGTTTGCTATTCCAGAAACATTGACATTTAAAGGTGGAAGTATATACTAATGCTGATTGGGTAGGGGCAGTTGATGACCGAAAGTCTACCAGTCGGTATTGTGCCTTTGTAGGAGGAAACTTGGTCACATGGAGAAGTAAGAAGCAAAGTGTGGTGGCTAGATCCAGTGCTGAAGTAGAATACAAAGCTATGTCTCATGGGGTTGTTGAAATCATGTGGATAAGAAACCTATTAGGTGAACTGGGTTTTGCAGTTAGCAACCCTATGTCACGCAATTGCGACAATAAAGCTGCTATCAACATTGCAGCTAATCCAGTCCTTCATGATAGGACGAAACACATTGAAGTGGGCAAGCATTTTATTAGAGAAAAATTTGTGAATGAAGAAGTGTACACTCCATATGTTAGCTCAGAAGAACAACTTGCAGGCATCTTCACCGAGGGTCTTCATCATGTGCGGCATAATGATTTGTGTGACAAGTTGGGCATGATTGACATCTATGCTCCAACTTGAGGGGGAGTGTTGAAATAGTTTATTTTATTTCTTGTCTATTAATTTTGTCTTGTTAGGGTTCGTTTGGTTGGTTAAAGCCTTTTTTATTTTTCTGTTATTGTACTTCACTTATAGCAAGGGCACAAGGGTCTTTCCCTTTTTATTTTAGTTGCCTTATATATACTAATAGAAGCCGGCGCTGCCGGCACTGTTCCATTGTCACCAATCTCTCTTCTTCTCTTCTTCTCTTCTTCTTTTCTCTTATTTTTAATTGGCATTATTGTCAAGAGGGGCATCTAATTTTTCTTTATTTTTAATAAAAATATTTTATATTAGGGAAATTGTCTAAAACTCACCATGAGTTTTTAGCATTTCTCTTAAACTCACCACAACATTTCAAAATGTCTAAAACTCACCATGTCACTAACTTTACGTTAAAGAGACTAATGAGTGTTAATATATTACCATTTTAACCTTTAGACATGAAAAAAAGGAAAAAAAGTATAAAAATATATTTTCAAATATAAAATACACAAAAACACAAAAGTTACAAAAAATATAAAAATTATAGATATTGCACACAAAATAAAAATTATTTTCAAATTATAGAAACTATAGAAATTGAAAAAAAAAATCAAATAATAAAAATTGTAGAAAAAACACCGAAAATTATAGAAAAACACAGAAATTGTAACTAAAAAACAAAAAATACAGGAAATTTTATAGATTGTAGAAAATAGAAAAATGTAAGAAAAACAGAAATTATCAAAAACATTGGAAATTATAACAAAACACTAAAAATGAAAAAAAAAAGAAAACTGAAAACTGAAAAAACCCTTTTCCTCTAACTCACCATTCAAGGGTGATTTAGTCATGAAAATTTTATTTATGCTGATGTGGACACCTCTGTTAAGAAGCATTATTGAAGCATTAAGGAGGGTGAGTTTTGGAAAATAAAAACTTACTGACATGGTGAGTTTTAGACATTTTGAAAAATTGTGGTGAGTTTAAGAGAAATGCTGAAAACTCATGGTGAGTTTTAGACAATTTCCCTTTATATTAAGAAAAATAAAGATGTGCATGAGGCGTACGCCTTATAGGTGTCAACGCCTGTAGCATACGCCTCAGGGCGTTTTGGGAGCGCTTCGCTTGGAGGTGCGCCTCCAGGCGTACACCTCCCATGCCCTTTTAAAACACTGGTGATAACTATATCAACATACACTATTAGGGCTGCAATTTTTCCTTCCCCTCTTTTCACAAACAATGTGTGATTAGATTGACACTGCTTGTAGACTCTTTGTTGAGCAGCTACACGAAACCTGCTGAACCAGGCTCTTGGTGGTTGTTTTAGGCCATATAAAGACTTTTTTAACCTGCACACTTTCTGTTTATCACCTTGAGCGCGGAAAGCACGGGGTTGTACCATGTACACTTCTTCAAGATCACCATTTAGAAATGCATTCTTCAAATCTAGTTTATGAAGGTTCGAATCAAGATTAGCAGCTAAAGAGAAGAGGACTCTAGTGGAGTTCATGTTAGCAACTAGTGCAAAGGTTTCTGCATAATCCATTCCATACACTTGTGTAAACCCTTTTGCCACTAAACGAGCTTTATACCGCTCTACTGTGCCATCAACCCTTTGTTTTACTATAAAAACCCATTTACATCCAATTGGTTCCTTCCCCTCAGGAAGATCCACCAATTCCCATGTATCATTTTTATGCAACACATTGATTTCTTCTTTCATTGCATCTGTCCATTCAGGCACCAATAGAGCTTATACCACATTCTTATGAATAGGAACACTGTCAATGGATGAAAGAAAGGCCCAAAAGCAAGGTGAAATGTTCTCATAGGAAACAAAATGGGAAATGGGATGTTTAGTGGTGCAAGACCTAACTTCCGGTGAGCAATAGGATGGTCAGGGTCATCAACAATGGAGGTATCAATAGCAATAGGGTCAGGAACATCAACGGGAACCAAGGTACTTGGTTGGGTAGGATCCACCCTCGGAGAATTTGATGGCATTGGTGGTACAACTTCTAGGTGCTCTACAACTCTTGAACATGGTTGGCCTTTGTGACGATGAAAGTAAACATGGAAGGGAGAAGGATTAGGAAGAGGAGGGAGTTAAGCATGTTTTTCCTCATTTCTACACTCCCTTTGAGGAGAAACAGGGAAGAAAGGCTCACTCTCAAAGAAAGAGACATTCATAGAAACATAATATTTCCGAGAGACTGGATCAAAGTACCGGTACCCCTTCTGAGTTGTGGAGTACCCCAAGAAGATGCAAGGAATAGCATGAGGATCCAATTTTCCACGGGTGGGTGATAGGTTTTGAACAAAGCAATGACAACCAAGCACACGTGGAGGAATAGAAAGGAAAGGAGCTTTGGGAAAAAGGAGTTGATATGGGGCTTTGCACTCTAACTAGCGAGAGGGCATAAGATTAATGAGATAAGTAGCACAAAGGATAGCCTCAAGCCAAAAATGTTTTGGGACATTCATATGAATCAGTAACCCCCGGGCTACTTAAAGAAGATGTAAGTTCTTTCTTTCCGCAACACCATTTTGTTGGGGTGTTCGAGCACATGAGCTACGGTGAAGTGATCCACGTGAAGCAAAGAACTCTGTTAGATCATTATGAAAGTATTCTTTGGCATTATCTAGAAGACTTGGATTTTAGATTGAAATTGGGTGAAGATCATTCGTTGGAAAGTTTGGATAATTTTTTGTACTTCATCCCTAGTTCGCATGGGATACACCCATGTGCATCTGGAATAATCATCAATAAAGGTAATAAAGTAACAAGGCCCCAAACATCAGAATGAACAGTATGGAAAGGAAATTCAGATTTATTATTCTTTGAAGAAAAATGAGTTCTACAATGCTTACTCTATTGACAAGTTTGACATGTAAACTTTGACACTGAGTCTGACTTAAACAACTATGGGAACACTAGTTTCAAAGACTCGAAAGATAAATGACCAAGACGACTATGCCATAAATAGACCTGACTCTTAGACTATGACTGTAAGACCAAACTTTTTCTCCAGCATGTAGAGTCCATCCACTAGATTCTACCAATCGTTTTCCCCGAGGCCAAATCCTGCATCACACAATAAGAAGGGAAAAAGGTCATAGAGTGGTTTAATGAATTAGTGATACTACTAACAAAGAACAAATTAATAGGGAATTTTGGAACATGTAAAACATTAGGAAGGGTAAGGCCAAAGGGAAGAGAAATGGTTCCTTGACCAACTATGGTAGTGTATGACCCATCAGTTAGTCTCACCTTGTCTCTTCTTGAGAGAAGATGATAGGTCTGAAAGTAGTGGACATACCAGTCATACGTTTTGACGTTCCAGAATCAATTATCCAAGGAGAGTCAGGGCAAGGACACGATGCATGGAAATCTGTGGTAGAATTACTTGATATAGACGCAAATGAAGTTGAGGGAGGAGGAGCATCCATCTGACGAATTGCCCTACCATAGAGTTCTAAATGGTCACGGAAGGAATTAACGATATCATCCCTAGGGTCAAAACTAGAGGTGTGTATCTGAGTTACAATAGTAGTAGGGGGCTGATTCTCTTGAGTAGCCATGTTTGTTGTAGTGAGCTTTCTCAGACCTTGCTGTCTTGATTTCTTATTTAGATTTGAACCTTGTTTCTTACTCAATTCCTGAGCCCATTTTGGCTTCCCATGGAGTTTTCAACAAGTATCACGGGTATGTTGAGACTTCTGGCAATGGGTGCACTATAGTTTGTCTTTCTCAGTCCAATGCTGTACTCTGGATCTTCAGTAAAACAAACGGCAGCTGGTGAAGAGAGAAGACAGAAAAAGAAGGCTTGCTCGATCTCCTTTCAAATCTAACAGTCCCGCTTTGATACCATATTGTCCAGAAGAGGAGAAGAAGAAGAGAAGGAAGAGAGAAGAGAGAAGAGAGGAGAGAAGAGAGAAGAGATAAGAGAGAAAAAAGATTCGAGAGCCAAAAGTGAAGCTGGCGGCACCAGCTTTTGGTATTTATATTAGGGCGACATAAACAAATAAAACGAAAGGGAGAAATTACAATAGTACCCCTGCGGTACTAATCTGAGTATACTAACAGATTTTTAACAATTGTTTTCAATGAACTAGATAGTGATGAAGTCAATAAATTTCTCTGCTGACTAGTCAGTTTTCTGGTTGGTGCTTTGTTGCCACTGGTTTTGAGTCTGATTTTTATTTGTTGTTTGATGTTTTTATTGTCATCATCATCCTATCTCAATGGTTTTAGCTTTGGCTCTTCTATCTATATAGAGATTAATCAATGTAGATTCATTTGCAGTAACTGTAGTTTCACTGAATGCTTTTTTTTTCAACTACATTATGTAAACTACCTGTTTTAATATGATTAGTTTTGTCATCCTTTCCATACATATTCATTTGCTCTGAATCACAAATATTTTTCTAGGCAACAGCTATCGTGATATATTACACTGTAACAAGAAGCCCTTTTATCTCAAAGGCCTGGAAGAAGATTCAAGTATCATGGATGCATATATTATGCATGCTGTATGTGCAGATCCTTTTTCATTCTTCAGACTTCTTTTATATGTGTTTTAGTGTATATTTCAGTACATGGTTTTCTTGCTATTGACTGAGTATCCATGAATTCTGTAGCTGAACCACATCTTTAGAACTAGAGATATTGTGGTAAAAAATGATGCAAAATTATCCAAGAATCAAGATGCTGTCAAGGAAGAAATTCTTAGTGGTGATAGATTTCTTGATCATGGGTTTACTCGTCCTAAGGTAATTGAGAATGCATTCCTAAGTAGTGATTGTTGTGTTATTGAATCTATAAATGATTAAAGATACTCTCAGAATTTAAAGCACTGCAGTTAGGAGAAGAAATTGTTACTTCGTGATTTTATTTATTATACTGGTCTCATTGTTTTCGGTTTTGTTGTTAATGACAATTTATTTTGAGTCTACACTTGCTGCTTTAAAGTTCAACTGTTGTGTACTTGGTTTTTTGTTCTTGTGAAAAATTTCAAAGTATTTTCTGTAGAACAGTGCTGTTTTAATTCTTTTGGTCCCACAATTTTATATTACTTTTGGGAAGTAGCCTTAAATTTTTGAGAAAGTGGCCTTGAAATTAGGGTTGCTATATGGTGAGGAAAGACTAATCACTTTATTCACATTTCTGGAAATAGGTGAAATGAACTACAGATAAAATATGGAACAGGTTGATGTTCACTTCAAAGGATTGTTATTGGTGTAGTGATAAATTTCATTCTCAAAAAGGAATTTTATGTACCATCTTGAAATTGGGGAGAACATTGCATGTGAGTAGGGGCTTGTATCTCCATCTTTATTTTATGACTACTTGATAAGAACAGAACCTAAACTTTGTGGAAATCGTAAATGTAGGACCATTCGTTTGCAAAATCTCACTTTTTATCACTTTTCGAAAGATGAATGTTTGTGTGTGTGTGTATACTTGCATGTACACAAAAGCTTGTTATGTGTGTATGCTTGCATGCAGTGTTACCATCTTAGTAGAGGAGAGAAGTGGATACGAAGATCTTTCTTCAACAGTGACATGGAGGAATGGAGGAGTGAAAAGAGAGTCACCATCTTAGTAGTTGAGGAGGTGATTGGATGGTTGAAGGGTTTTATGGATGGTTCGATATTCTCCATTAAAAACAAGGTTGGAAAAGTACAGTGGGAGTAGCTGATAAAAGATTTGAAGCTGAAATTAGGAGGAATATGAAAGGTTGGTTTGTGGTGATTTTGGAAACATTTGGTGATAACAGAAGACAGATGTTTGTGCTGGAAGGAAGAAAAAGGGCATGGTGCAGATTGTTTGCAGACTTATTACAGGAATTCCTGTTCAACTTAGAAGAAAGACATTCCAAAAATCTGTAATGGCCCAGTGGCCTCTGAGGAGCAAAGTAATAGGGAGCAACAGAAGGAGGAAAAATAAAAAAAGGGAAGCCCACAAGCTATTGGCTGTAGCACTACTAGAAGTCAGAGGATGTTCTTGGAAGTGGAGAAGGGAGCCTGGGAGAAGAATGTGATCTTAACATCAGTAAAAAGAACTGGTTGGGGAAGGATTTTGGAGGTGATTGTGGAGAGATTTAGTTTGAAGGGCCCTGTGAATATGAAGTCCTTCGATTATTCAAAGGCTGTGTTATTTGAAGTTGACGAAGACGTTGTGATTTCCACTACTGAAATGGTACTTATCCTTTTTCAGAGGTTGTTTTTCAGATTGGGACTTATCCTTTCCCTGGGGAGTTAAGATGCTTTAGCTCCCCTTTTTTGTAACCTTATTACTATTTAATGAAATCTGTTGTTATTGATCAAAAAAAAAAAAAAGGCAGAGGTTAGGCATATGTCTTGTAATCAGAACCCCATCTCTGTAGAAAATCTTGCAATTCAGCTTGTGGGTCTTCCCTTCAATCTTTGGAACGTTGAAAACTTTGAAAGGTTGATCCAGATTCTGGCTGGAGTTTTGATTGCTTATAATCTTCACGAACTTCAGGCTGCAAGACTCAGAGTCGTGGGACTGAAGCCTGAAGATGTCACTAGATGCATCAGTCTGCTTGCAGATGGTTTCTGGGTGAAGGTCTGGGTTCTGCTGGAAGTTGAAATGTTGCTTTGGATGAAATGTTAGAGAGACTGATTCCTTCTGATGAGGGGATAGGACAGACAAAGGATCTCGAAGGAATCTGTAGAGACTACATACAGGTCTGATGAGAAGGAAATGCCTAATAAAGTTTGCAATTCAAATTTAATTGAATTAGGTACAAAAACTTATGCAGAGGCTACCATGGGTGGAGCCATGTCATCCAAAGCATCAGAACCACATAACTTAAAGTCTAGAGAGAGGTGGTCCAAACCGGTTTGAGTTCAGGGGTTGGGACCGGCTGCAGGGCCTTTTCAGGTTAGAAAAGCAGCTCATGTGATTATGTTAGTAATCATGTGACTCAAGGGGAAAGGCCTTGGAGCGCCTCAACAGGAGACAATTTTCCTTGCTTGTCATCATCTTCCTCCTTCTTGAGGACCCGCCTGAAGCTTGCATCTTGTCTAAGTGAAGTTTTAGATGAAGCTGAAGCTTGTAGTGTTGATCTGGTTAATGGAAGGAAGAAAAATCAGAGGAAGAAGGATAGAGTTTACAAGAGAAAGGGCTTAGGTCTTAACTGACCAGAGTCCAAAAGAAGCGGGGCGCTAATTAGAAGTACCTCGACTAGAAGCAGAAAGAGTTGGGGAGAAATATGAATTTGTTGATCGCCAAGTATGGTGAGACCGGTATGAAGATTATTATTTGTGGAACAGGTATGAACCTTGTTAGTTGCCCAAATTTGTTACGATCCATTTGTCCCATGTTGGTATTATGGGATGCTAATGTGAGGTATCCCACATCGGTAGTATGGGATGCTGTTGTTGGGTATTTATGTGCTTGGGTTCCCTCCTTCTAACAACTAGCTTTTAGGGGTGAGTTCTCCTAAGGCACATAATAAATGGTATCAGAGCGCACACTATGCCTGCCAGTTGCAATCGTGTGGCGCAGGTGGTGACGTTGGTGTTGCAGTGTTTGGCCGGGACTAGGTGGACTAGTGCAAAGCGAGCCTGTGTGGGTGTCGGGACTGCGGAGCGTGGTGGAATGTTTTATGATCCATTTGTCCCATGTTGGTAGTATGGGATGCTAATGTGAGGTATCCCACATTGGTAGTATGGGATGCTGTTGTGGGGTATATATGTGCTTGGGTTCTCTCCCTCTAACAGCTACCTTTTAGGGGTGAGTTCTCCTAAGGCACATAACAAAATTCTTCAGCGAATGGAGATTCTGATCTCCGCTTTCAGGGTGGTTGAGGAGCCAAGGTCTTTTGTGACTCCATTGAGCTTGGGGTTATAGATGAGAACAGGTACAACTCTAGAAAGCCTGCTCCGTTGACTTCGGAAGTGGATTACTCTATGGGTTTAGAGAGGCTGGAAGGGGGGGGGGGTGAGGAGGAAGTTGGGGAAGGATGCGTTTTTGCGAGTGATGAACATGAGAGTGAGGGCAAAGGGAAACAGGTGATGGAAAAGGAGGTGAAGGCAGGAGGGCTGGATGTTGATTTGGGCCGGAGGAGCAAGTCTGATGAAAAGGAAGAGAATCAGATTAGCGAGGTGATTAACATGAAATTTCACAGTTCGAAGAATCATAATGTAGTGCATGTGACAAACTGTCTTCTCTGGGCTAAAACTTGGTTTGGCTGGGCTGGGGTAGGAGGGGCTCAACTGGCATTGGCCTCCAAGTCAGGGAAGGAGCAATAGGAGAACAAATTGAGTGTTGTTGACTCTGATTCTGGAACGAGCAGGATTTGGTGGATAGAGTGGTCATGATTGGAAAGAGCCAAGGTTTGTTTTTTTGGGGTGGTGAAGAGTTTGCTAGAAGGGCCTTTGAGGAGTTTGAAAGTAGGAAATGGGAGGAGAAGGAGAACAAAAAAGTTCATTGGGAAGGAGAGAAGAGTTGGGAAGAAGATGGTCCAAGCTAGGAAGATGAGTTCGTGGAGGAAGATTGAGCCCTTGGTTATTGTGCAAGGAGGTTTTGCATTTCTGATCTGGGGTGGGAATAGATGTATTTGCTCTCATGGGTTTTTTTTTTGGGTTTTTTCTTGGCCTTTTCTTGAGGTTGTTTGATTTTTTGGGTTTTAGTATGGGGATTTTGAGGTCTTTGTTGGGTTCTTTGGGTTTGCTTCCTCTTCAGGTGATGTCTTATCACCTTCCTATTGTATTCTTTTTCCTTTTTCTAATGAAATTTTATTTTTATTCTTCAAAGAAAAAAACTGTAGACAGTCCTAGTTGTTCTCTTATTTGTTAGGTCCAACAGTAATATACGGTATATAGGGTATCATGTTGTATTTCTTGCATTTCTTCTTTATCTTTGGCTCATCCTCTTAATAAGAGCACTTACATAAATGTACACATGTTATGTCCATCTTAATAAAACTTTCTATATACTTGGAAAATCTCTCTGCTCTAAAGATCAAGAAACCAGATTGTCGCCTGTAAAAACTGGAAAGTGCAACTTGACAGTGTGGTTGCAGTTGTTTCCAATTTGCCTTACACTTGGTTAGAGCTTTAGTCTTGTTTTTATGAATGGAAGAGGCAATTTTGTTACACTGAATCATCTCAAGAAGATCATCCGCGACCTTGTGATGTTCCGCCTCTAACATGTTTACGTGATCCTCCATAGATGCAGAATCTGGTCATGATCATTGCCGATGAAGGCTCTGTTACCAATTTTGATAGGTTACTGCCTATCATAGGGGGTTATTTGAGGTAATCCTTACTCTTGAAACTCACAACTACACAGAGGAAAATCAGAGGGGAAAATCTTAAATGCCCTTTATCTGTCCTTTTATACAAGGATGGCTAGCTCAAAGAGTTGCATGAGTATGAGCTAATTCTGCTGACGTTGCTTTCTAGAATATACAAACTTAATTGGAGGATATAGGCATAAGTTCCTTGTGCCTTAGACTGGTTGTAGGCCAAAGAATGGGTGAGATACTTTGTCATTGTACATGGACAGCAGTGGTTTGGAGTATTTATTGTGGAAGGAATGCCTGAATTTTTTAGAACAAGGCACACCTCCTGAGGATATATAAAATATTTCATTATGCATCTTATTGTTACTATTCAATTTTCTAGTTCACTATGTAAAGCTATGAAATTCTTCATATTATCTCTATGGCTGACAATTACAAAGAGTATTATTCCGCTGCTTTTGCTTAATCTTCCATAGATTACCTTGTGTATAAATCTTATTTTTTTATGTCTACGTTTCTGTTTTGAGGTGTCATATTGTGCCACTTTTTTTGTTTTTTTTTTTTTTGTTTTTGTTTTTGAGAGTAGGTAAAGTCTGGTTCACAAAAGGATTACAAAGTTTGCTAATTACATTGGAAGAGGATATCAATGTTTAAAGAAACAGAGCTAGGATCCTTACAGAATTATTTACAAACTGAGGCCCAAGACAAAACTTTTGCTACTTCCTTTGGATTTCATCTATCTGAGAGCTTTTATTTTAAAATGTTCTGCTATTTCTTTGTGTTAAAACTGTGCACAAAGCAGCAGTTAGAATCATAAACCTGATCAGCTTGCCTTTTTCTGTTCATCCAACCTATGTACCTTCTGGTTAGGGTCTCCAAAGATGTTAGTGGAAACCTAGAGTTAGTGGAGGAAATGCACCTAGATATGTTGACTTTGGGTTAGGGTGATTCAACTAGAACAGAATTATGTTCAGTTTTTTTTTATCTTGGGAAAAAAATTATGATCTGTTCTGCATGGTACAGGGCTGGTTAAAACACTAGACTACAAAGATTTACCTGTTTAAGGAGAGTCAAAAGTTATAGTTGCTTGGGTAAAGGACAACAAAGCAGGATCCTAGAAATACAGATATGATAAGGGAAGTATCAAGGTTGTCTTTGGAAAGAGATGTCTAATACAGGTGGACTCCAAGGTCAGCTAACCACCTAACTGATGTTTAGAAGAGACTTTTGCCATGTGTAATGGATGGTAGAAGGGGCTTTTGGCATCCATACAATTTTATATGGGGAAATGAATGAGGAAAAAAGAGTCAGGTTGAGCATTACTACCAGTCACCCAATCTCCCAATCTTAAAGGTTTCTTCTAAATTTAGGAGTCCGCACAATATTTGGATCCTTCAAAGTGTACATTTGCGTGAATGTAGCCTTCTCGTCATCATGATGTCAAAAAGGAAAGCGAAGGAATCAGCAAGTGGCTTTCACCACACCAGCAAGTCTATCCAAAATTTTAATCTGGAACCAAGTCCGCAAGTCCTAGGAAACTGTGCTGGGTTTTCCTGTCAAAAATGGACAGCCATAAGTAGTATTCAGTATTCACAGTTCTTCTATCTCAGTCTCCAGTGCTAAGCCATATTGTTTTTGTTATCAATTGGCAGAACCATCTCTTCATTGACCCAATCTAACTGTAGATTTTGGGGAGCAGATTCATGCCCCACTGGCAGACCAGATAACAGTTGGGGTTTCACAAGTCCAGATGAACCCAACCCAATTTCATGGCAGCTTGGAGTAGAGCTTTTAAGGTCGAAGCTAAGGGTTCATTTTTGAGAGATACGGATTCAAAGGGATAACTACAGTGAAGTTCAGAGATCTGAGAAGGGCTGTGGTATTCCTGGTGGGTAGGGAGACAGTTGAGTGGTTTTTCTGGATAGTCAAAGGGGCTTTATGTGCAGAAAAAGAACTTAGGTTGGAGGGAATATTTTGCAGAGAGAAAGCAAAATACAGAAGGGAGATATTTAATTTTGTTTAAGTGTTTTGAGAAAAAGAAAAAGCAAGTTGTTTTCTTTCCATAGGGAAGAGAGAATGAAGGTTGGAAGGAAATTTGTAGAGTTTTGCAGGAATTCTTGAAGTCTGGAGAAGAAAAGACAGACCTGGCAAGAATCTTCTTGTTTCAGGAGGAGGTGGTAAGTTCTATCTCATAGTTAGCATTGAGAAAGGAGAGTAGTAAAGAAATTGGTTGTAGAGGTTATAGCAGAATCAATTATAAAAGGTTTGGATCTCAAAGGAGCAGTAGTGTTTACTCCCTTTGAGAAATGCAAGGCTTTGGTTGAGCTGTCGGAGGATGAGTTAGAAATTGCAGTGGTGAATTTGGAATTTGGAGTTGGGTTCGTCACACTATCAAATTGGTGTCCTCTTTCAAATGAGAAGACTTTGAGTGTTGAGGATGGTGTGGTGGTTCATATTCTTAGTCTCCCTTTTCATTTATGGAGGGATGAAATCTTCAAGTTCATTGTTGAAATGTGTAGGGTGAGATTGGATGGCGTTTTTGCAACTGATCTTCATTTTGTAGCTATCTGCTTGAGTGGTGTAAAATCTGAGGGAGATTCCAAGGAAGATTCAAGTGTTGGTTGATCAGTCATGGTAATAGAGTGGGTGTTTTAAATATGGGGGAACCTTACACAAAGCTGGAAAAACATTTACTAGTACAGGCAAGTTGTCAGGGGAAGATATGTTTAAGAAAATAGATGAGGTGATGTCTGGTGTGTCACCTTCCCAGGAGCTGAATGTTGAAATGATGGCACATGGCATGTGCAGCAGGTCGCCAGTTCCAAGGAGATTATGGTAAATCAGACCATTTGAAGCCTCCTTTTTTAGAAGGGTTGTGAGTGACCTGAAGATATGGTTTAAGAAAATAGATGAGGTGATGTCTGGTGTGTCACCACCCCAGGAGCTGAACATTGAAATGATGGCACATGGCACATGCAGCAGGTCCAAGGAGATTATTGTAAATCAGGCCATTTGAAGTCTCTTTTTTTAGAAGGGTCTGGGTGACCTGAAAATTTGTGTGATATGTTAAGTCGCCACATGAGGGCTGAGGAGTTAAAAGAGGTGGGGCAGATTTGTTTGAACCCCATCAAAGATAGTTTATATGTAATATTAAAAATCCATGTGACATGAAGGAGGGATGGGAATGATGATGATAAATCTCGTTTTTCATTGTCTTCCTTAGTCTCCTTGTTTGAGCCTGGAAAAAATGGAGCTTTTGTGAGAGAATTCAGAGAAGGTAGGGCTTTGTCCATGGTCATTGAATTCTCATCTTCTGACAAAATGGGTTTGTTTATTGTGTTACAAGATACAATACTAGCAAAGAGAAGGAGAGTTCAAAGGAAAAGGATGGTTCTTTGAACAACTTTCAAAGAAATGGGAAACATTAGCAAGGAAGGTGATGAAGTCAAGCTTAATGAATAAGAGAAATTAGAGAGTAGAAATAGTTCAAAGAAAGCATGTGAAGATCTAAAAGGAGACAATAGGGCAAGGAAAGATGAACTTAAAGAAATGGAAAAGTCAGTTGAAGAAAGAGAAGGGGAAGAAGGTTGGGTAGTTTGATGGAGGAGAAACTTGGAGGGGGAGAGGATATGACGAGCAGGAAGAAGATTCAGGAGTCAGAAAATTAATCAAACAGTGCAAATTTCAAAAGTTTTTGCCAGAATAAAGGTAGGATTATTTGTGGTGGGTTCAAAGAAAAGGGTCATTTCTTTTCACCCTGATGTAACTTCTTTCTTCTGTCTTAATAAATTTTCTTTTTTGTTTTTCTTCAAAATAAATTGCTATCCTTTTTCAACTCTTTCCAGTAACTATCTCAACATTTTTTTTTTTCCATCTTAATTGCTATCTCTAAGTGGATATCGAACATTGAGAGAATAGGAAAGCTAGATATAGTCTTTAATCAATGTTGGTTTGCCTCATTTTGTCAAGTATCTTGTCTTCCACATGGAGAGTTTTCTTTTGAATTGCTCAATCACTGATCTCTAAGAGAGCTTGAACTGCACTGAGGTCCAATAGGCATTTGCATTTCAAGGTTTTTGATAGGGAGATGGGAAACCTTACAACCTAATACATTTGCAAGATTTTGTGCATTTGTTGCCTTATCAACAGGAAACGAGGAGCTCTTTGATTTTTAGTTTTCACATCTCACACGGTCTTGAACTGGTGAAGAACACAGGAATTGATGATGCTGTTCTTGGCAAGCATCCGAGAAGAAAATAGTATAATCAGTAAAAGGATTACTTAATATATAAATTTTTAAAAAAACTTTTGTTGATCAGTTATAAACTGGAAACCTCTTGAGGGAGAGGGGGAGGGTTCTGAGAGTGATATTGACAGGGAAAATTGCCAGTAAATCTTGCTATGAATGGATAAAATTGAAGAAGTACAAAATAACCCTTGGTAGTACAAAGTAAATGATACTTGGACAATATCCATTGTAATGGAAGGACTGGCAAACTTGCATTATGATGTTCTCCATTGGTCTTGAAATGCCCAAGTGAACCCAGAAGTACAAAGGTATTAGCCCTTGCAATAAAACGGAGAAGATACCTAATTAATCTTAGTATAGCATGAGGAATGGGAATACCTGGATAGGAACACATTCACCAATTTCATGAAAAACCCTAAATTATCCTAATAAATGTAGATATTATTTATAAAGCTTCTATTGGCATCTATAATTGTATTAAACTTGTATGTTTTTCTTTCAATTTTCTGGGTTGGGTTGGTTTTTTACAGGCAGGTGTTTTTTCCATAAAATTGTAAATGATCATGCATGTTAACTCCAGGGTCTTTTTGATGGTAGATATTTGTTGTGATTCATTCATTCTTTTTCCCAATGCTATTATGTCGGTTATTTTGAAATGAACTGTTGTTATTATACTGATTACTACTAGTACAACTACTATTTATAATTAGTATTATTATTGGTGTAATCTGGCAGGTTCTTATCCTATTACCACTTGCAAGTGTTGCATACCGTGTCGTTAGGAGGTTAATACAACTGACCCCTTCATCAAATAAAGTATGAATCCTTGCCTTTTCATTATATGCCTAATCTTTAGTTCACTGTGATTCACCTAGTTTGGAATTTTATTGAACAATTGCCTCGTGTGTGCGGTGTTCTTTTAATTTAAAGTAAAATACTTAGAAGTGTAATAGGCTGAAAGCATAAAATGTCATCATTAAAACCACAAGTCATTCGTATATTGGCTTTTAGTTGCTAAAACCTTGCAGAAATCACACAATGCTGCTCTTATTGGATGTATAGCTGAATAAACTTTCTACTGGTAGTAAAATCATTGCATTTGGACATGTTTTGAAAGAGAAATTAAGGGCCATATTAAAATGACAGGAATTTTCGATGCAAAATATAGATCTCGGTAGTAAACTTTCTACTTCCTATTTTCCTTTGTGTCTTGTTGCTTTCTATCCCCAATAAAATATCAAATGATCCACCTTCCTGTGGCTCTAAGCTTTTAGTTTTAGTTTTGTAAGGTTATTTTTCTGTTTCAAGATTGATCCACCTTCATATGGCTCCATGATTTTAATTTTAGTTTTTATTGTTTTTCAATATATATATATATATATATTATCCAATCAAACTAAACCTTTAATGGTCTGAAAGCTCATATATTAAATTATATTAATATGTAATTTTTGTTTTTTGTGGACAAAAATATTAATGTAAGAATTATTCTACATGATAATAACATATCAAAAATTCCCGAATCAGATATCTTATGGGGGAGAACATGAAAGATGGTCACCTAGTGGTCATATTTTGCAAAAATTCCAGCTTTAGAAAGGGATAAATTCAAATTTTTTAGCAACCATTCAATGTTGAAATCGCACAACTATGAGAAAGCAGTTTTTCTGTTGGATCGTTTGGATCTATTGGACCATGAAAGCATAGTTGTCAAGGCGACGCCTAGGCGACTAGGCGCCCTTGGAGGCTCGCTTCGCCCAGTCGCCTAGCAGTTTTATGCACTGGGTTATAAAATACTTTTAGATTTTTTATTTTTTGATATTATAATTATAAAATAGACATTATTAAACTAGAATATTCATTTTGTGTTTATATACTAATTTCTTTTTATTATTTTCTTATTTTGTTAGGGTTTAATCAATGCAAACATTGCTAACTTTTGTATTGAACCCATGGTTTATTGGCAGAGGTTTATCGGTACTTATAACGTTACTCCCCCAATTTTTTATTTCTTTGGTTTTCAATTTCATTTTTAAATATATATACATATATTATTTAAGAAAATGGGTCTCCGAAAACACCTATAAACAGGTATCGGGACCCCAAAGATACAATACAATACACCCAATACGGGGTATATCGTATCAAAATTTGATCCTTTATTGAACCCTCAAAATTTTCAAAACCTTAACCTATAAGCAAGGGAAGAACTTAAAATTTTGTCTAATCAACACATTTTCTTCTTCCATGTCTTCTTCTTCTTCTTCCACCTTTTCTTTTCTTCTTTCCTATAACAAAAGTAGGGGTTCAGCCCCTATATTTTTTGAATTTTCTTTACTTTGTTCTTTTTCTTCTCATAAAATGTTAATTTTCTAGACTTAAACATGAAATTTATACTTTTCTTTTGAAAATTATGAATAATTATTAAGGAAAGATGGTTATGGAACCTTGGGAACTACCCTAGGATCTAGGGTTTTACTTAAAAAAATCCATCGCCTAGGTGTTGCCTAGGTGGGCGCCTAGGCGACTAGGTGACAAGACGCCCCCCTCTCGCCTAGCCTTGCCTTGGCGCCTTGAAAACTGTGCATGAAAGATCGAATCTTGGAAGTGGGATAGATCAATTACTTGATATTTGATCTCCAAAAATGCAGAGATCAAAGTGGTAGTTCACACCCAAGCTTTTGTGCTCCCAAAAACTGCAACTAGTTGAAGATGGTGCAACTGTATTCTTTGTAGTGTTTAGTTGATCTCCAAGAAATTCCAGCAGTGCGTGGTTCCACCAAGCAACGATTTGGGTGGGGTCTCTCACTCAAAAAGTCTCTGGAACAAAGCTCTAATGGATATTCTAGGTGGCTTGTTGAATGGGGTTCAAAAACCCTAGAAATATTTCAGTATTCTTGATTGGCTAATTCAGCTAGAATGCCAAGAGTCTTTTATTGCTTAGGCTTAGTTTGGAAGGAGTACGAAGTGCAAAAGCTTGCATTTTGTATTATTTTGTTTGTATTTGTACTGTACATATTTGCATTTGTACTCCTTCCAAACTAAGCCTTGGGGAGGACTGCCAAGAGTCCATTCCTAATCCAATAATGTTTCCTAACATAATCAATCTCCTCTAGTATTCAGTCTAAATACTAGAATCTTTCTACTTAAGAGTCTTGGTCAAACTTGTAACTAACTTAGATTTCCTTGTTACTAGTTTGAGTAGACTTTCTAGGAAGACTTCTAACTGAATTAGAATGTCCATATAATCTTGGAGACCTTCTAAAATGGGGAGACACCAGCTTGTATGGTGTGGGACCCACTACTAATAGGTTAAACCAACTTAGGTCCACACAAGCTTACACTTAAACTAGTGGGGCTAACTACTTAAATAATTATTGCCAACATGGCCAATTCACCCATAACTGTTATGGTCCTTATTAAATTGGCTCGTTAAGATGTCTAAACACTTAAATCACTTGGAGCCTTACTATCCTAAATGCCCAGTCGAATTGGTTCAGCCCATTATGTGATTATTATGTAAAATCAACCCAACATATCACTTGCATTCAATCCCTTTGCTAGTAACACTTGACATTGCATATGGTGAAGGATTTTTTTCCCTCTTAGTCTTTTTGACAGTGTCCAGCCTCCACCTTTGGTGAACCTTAATAGAGGATTTAGGAAATCCACGTAGGAAGTTGTATTTGATTCATGCATCCATTATTGGAAGTTGTATAGAGCATTCTCTATGTCATAACATAGTACAGATCCTATCATATTGACCATCAGCTGGTGTACCATCTTTGACTACCCCAACATACCTAGATATTTGAACCAGAAGGATCTCACTAGCTGGCCTATCAAAGGCAACCAAGTCTGGTAGCCAACATGATACCAATATCAAGTCTAGAGATTGTAAGCAACAACTATGGTATCATGGACAGTGTGAGAATGTCAACCTTGTCAGGGTAAACTCAAGTTTATCTACTGGTTGTGAATATTTAAGTCCATATTGAAACAACTGTGGTCTCATGCGTAATACAAATATGATCTCAACTGCTGCCCCATATTTTATTTCATTATAATAAAGAGTGAAATTACAGGAGTGCCCTCAAATAAATAAAGAAGCAGCAAAAAGACAATAGAGAGAAAAAGATTAAATTGGCCCTACAGAGTCACAGACATAATTGTACTTTAACGCTGTCCCTTAAGTTGGTGCATATATTTTATTTATACTAATAAATAATAATCATAAAGTACTAATAAAATAATAACAATACAATATTAATAAACTATTAATAAAATGCTAAATTATTTATAAGCTTGTAACAAAATATTAGTAAAATAATAACAAGATAAATATTAATAAATTAATTATGAACTGCTTCGATTTTAATTATCGGAATAATAATAATAAAGTACTAATATATTAATATAATATTATTCAAGTAATAAGAAAATAATAATCAAATAACAAAAATAACAACATAATAATAAAATAATGATATTATTAATAATTAGTTAATAATAAAATGTTATAAACTAATACAAAACCGAATCACTGAATCAATCTTCTTGCTTATTGATCAAACCATGCTCCCTGATTCACTTGTGGCTATGGTGGGGAACTAGTGGAATGGGCTTGGGTGCTCGCAGAATTTGTTAATTTAGTAATCGGATCTGGGGGCGAATTCTTGGAATGTTCTTGAATTTCATTAGTAATGCCTCTCAGTTTTGAGTTTGTTGTTTTAATTCTGTTTTGTATGGTGAGGTACCATCATGTCACCTCTTGACTGTAATTTTCTTTTGATTAATGAAATTTCGTTTTACTCTTAAAAAAAAGAGCTAAAATCCTATATTATACCACTGAATTGACCAAACTAAGTTGTATATGACTGTGTCAGCCATAAATAGCTTCAGTCTGCAATCTTCTTTTACTCCATTTGAGCAATAAACTAAAGTGGTTGATCCACATGCACATCTTCATGTAGATCAATGCAGAGTTGAAACAATATATATAAAAAAATAGTTGTTGAAAATTTGAACATAAGCCAACTAAAATGAGAAGCTAGTGATAAAAGTAACATGAATATAGCCAATAAGAAAAAGTGCCTTGGAGTAATTAATTGCCACACTGCTACATGTATCCTTTAGAAATTAATTTAACATTCAAATGATTTGCACTGCCATGTAGGAGTGGTTAACTATACACTCAATGGCATCAAATAGCATCCTTTCCTAGTGGAAGAGACATAAAATCTCATGTATGATCAAAATTGAAGAGCATTTTATCACTTAAATAGGTGGGAATTAATCTTACTGAACATATCTACAATATTGTTTTCAATTTATGTTATAATACTGGCGCAGTACGAAAACGAAACACATGAGAAAAGCTTCAAAGAAAAGAGCAGAAGTCGAATTTTAGGAAGAAGAATTCTTCACTAAATAATTAAGAGAAATTTGATAACAAGAGAACTGTCTTAGCCTTCCCCTAGCTACTCTTTATTATAGGCATACACCCTTGTGGCTCTTATTCCTAATTTGAAAACACTCCATAATAGAATCCTACTAAAACTTCTTAAAAAAGAAAATCCTAATCTAAGAAACACTCCAAAATAGAATCCTACTAAAATCCTTAAAAAGGAAAGTCCTAATTGAATATAAATTCGAAATAATGCTAACATGGTAAAAACGAACTAAGATAGAAACTCTGTGATGGCGCGAACTTGGTAAAAACAAACTAAGATAGAAATCCTATGGCGATGCTATATCGGTAAATGTTTACTAAGGTGACTCTGTGGCGTCATCTTTGCTTCTTATGTGTCTTGGAA